AGAACCAGGGATTGAACTTAGGCCCTTGTACTTGCCAGGCAAGCACTTATTGTACTGAGCTATCTCTCCCACCCCCAACCCTTTTTCTTAAATCTAATTTCAAGAGAAATATTTCTGTAGCTTATTTTTCCAGAATTTCCATCAGTTCATACAGTTTGAATCCTGTGTATTCATACAATACTTCACCTTTAAATATGGAGTTCTTTCTTGTAACACATCAGTATCAAATTTTTTGTTTCTGTAAGATGTAGTACAAACTCTCTTTCTGTACTGTGTGAGAACTTAAAGCAACAGTCATCTGTAGACCAAGGGGATCCCTCATGAGAAAGAACTTGACCAGGCTGACTCCTAGCGCCCAGAACTGGGCGGGGGGGTTCCTATTGTTTTAAGTCTCCCAGTGCTCCCTGAGCAGTCTTGTATGGGCAACCCTGGGGTTTCTATACCTTCTTCCTTTGGCTGCTCACTATATTGTCATTCCTTCTTTCCACCTTGTGGGAAATGTGTTACAAATAAAATCAGAGGTGTGTTTAATCATGTAAAAAATATATACATTATGTAACATATAATATATAATATTAAACTAACTTGTGCTTACAATACCAGGAAATAATATATTGTCTTTAAGATTAATAAAGTAACATTTATGGAATTTTAAAATAAAGTCTGGCTTTGAACAGTGACAAATCTTTCTGTGCTTTTGAGGCCTCTTTAAAAGGCCTTCCAATAAGCAGCAAAGAAAGCAGGGGAAATTTCTGTATATTCGAGTGAAAATTATAAAAAGAAGAAACTATGCATATAAATATGTTATTACTGACTGCCTTGTATATACCAAGTAGGTATCTCCTAGTTCTTAAATACTAATATTATTTCTAGCACATTTCATTTCACAGAGCACATTTCTGACCCTCAGAATGACCCCGTGAAACAGAAACTACTTGACAGATGAAGAAACTGAAGTGTGTCAGTATGCCAAGCCACAGTATTTTAAAATATCAGAGCTAGAATTATTATAGTATCTTATTAATTTCTATATTACCAGAATCTAGTAGTTAGCAGATATCTAATAAGTATGTGGCGAATGAGTTCCTCTAATTTTTCTCATCCTTAGAGACCAGTGTTCTTTTTATTACCAAGTTCTTCCAATGGGAAGGATAGGCTTAAAATTGAGTCAAATAAAATTACTAACTCAAAATCAGAAATGTAACTTAATTGGTACAGTTCAGGTAGCCAGATACTTTAGAGGGAAAACACTGGTAGAATTTTGTTAACTTGTATCTTTTCACCTATATTTTTTATGCAAATACATGTAAACATTACTTATAATAAGCAAAGAAAAAAAATCCCTACAAACAAGTACCTATTACTTACTTGTGGTGCAAGAAGAGGTAGCCTAATATAAGCCAAAAGTTTACTGAGATCTTTCCGTCTCTGCTCCAAATCATGACGGACCCAAGTGAGAAGCGCATTCAATATTGTCTCTTCATTAGGAATGTTCATGTCATCACTAGCCAGGAGTTTTGCAATTTCACTGGCTGGTAGTAATACGAACTCCTGGTTTCTGATTACTTCCATAAAATGTTCCTAGATGGGGGGGGGAAATGACAATCAACAGTATCATTGTTTTTAGTCATGACAGTGTATGCAAAAGAAACTATGTGTTTTGTACTAGCTACTCAAACAAACAAATCTATACTTTATGGCTTACAATGTATTACTACCACTTAGCAGAAAAGAAACAGGAGAAAAAAACATTTAAACTACAACCAGGTTGCTGAACTTAACTAAAATTGAAGTGGTATGTCACTTACTACATTTTAAAAACAGACCTGTGACAGTAAAGTATTGTTTTGTCCAAGTCAGGGAATCATTCTACCAAGACTTTTGAAAGAAGATAGAAAAAAATGAATTAGAAGTTAATTAGTAACAGAATTTGGATTTGTGGTTGCTGCAGAATTCAGACAACAGGGCAGCTAAATAACCTGGGTGACTTTCAAGTCATTTCTCTTACCCAGAAATAACTTCCAAACTTCCAAGACTATTTTAGACCACATGGCTTTCTCATAGCTTGCCTTTGAAGATGATGTATTTTCAAGGTCATTCTAAAAGTAATTTGGCCTTTAAAACTTTTAATGTTATTTATAAGACCACCAGAACTTTAACTCTGTTTTGAACATTTACATATCTTCTAATTTGATTTATGTACAAAGTTATTTGGTTACACACACACACACACACACACACACACACACACACACCCCAAAAGTGTCAACTTTCAATGTATCTGGACCAGAACCTTAGGTAGAAGATGACTCAGTTCTGGTTGCATACCAGAAGCAAACCTTCTCTGATTTCACATGGGGGTTAGAAATACCCTGAGGTGTGAGATGACCATTATAGGTTCTCTTGCTAAATAATCTGGAGGAAAGGAAATCTGTATCCTCTGATTTGAAGATTAAAAATCCTGATGCATAGTTTACCTTTTTAAATATAAATGCACATGCTAGACATATAGTTCCTTAATATTTTTCTTGTACTTTCTAATGCACTATTCCTGTCTCAACATGTAGAGTTTTAGTAAAATTGCTAAGGCTGTTTAAATTAGAGTTAGAGACAAGGTCTATCAATAACTATTTTTTGTATTAAAATGAGAACTGAATTTTGTTTGGCCTGTGGTAACTCCAATGAGGTATGATCTAGACTATCCATTGGGTTGACTTTATTTCAGCAGAAACTGTTAAAAAGGAAAAACCATTCATGAATAATTAAATTTGATTGTTCTAATTCATGATGATTTGATACCCAAATGAATCTATTTTTAGATGACGGAATTTTATTTTCAGAAATATATTCTTTTTTTTTTAATGGAACCGGGGATTGAACTCAGGCCCTTGCGCTTGCCAGGGAAGCGCTTATTCCACTGAGCCATCTCCCTGGCCCCTAGAATTATATTCTAATAAAATCTCAGTGTGGAAATGGCTTCAAGCAAATTGTGCTTAATTGTATACTGGCATTCAAAATAATTTGGTAGTATATAACTAGAGCTATAAAAATGTCAAAACTCTCAATACAGTTATTTCACTTGTGGTTTAACCTTTAATAGATACTCCATAAGTAGAAAACAAAGCTGAATACCTTACAATGTTTCTTTGATTTTTATTTATAACAATAAAATATAGGAACTAGCCTAAATCTCTAACAAAGTAGGCTAAAACTAGATGGATTAGTAAATAGGCAATATAAACCTTAAAGACAAAGATAACACACACACACACACACACACACACACACACATTTATTTACTTATTTATTTATCATAGAATGCTAGGTAAGATTGTGAAGAAGTTAAAATATAATTTCTAGTTGTTTAAAGGTATGACATATATAATCAACATATGTATACAACCCTAGAATAATTGTTGCTGTAATTGCAAGTTGTATTAACTGTATTTTACCAGTAAGAAAGACTTTATTTTTGGTCTTTTTTGAGATAGGGTCTTGCTATGCAGTTCAGACTCACCTTGAGCTCATTTTATAGCCTAGGCTGGCTTCAAATTACAGTGATCCTCCTGTCTCAGTCTCCTAAATGCTGGGATCACAGGCATGTGCCACCACACTCAGCTCTGAGAAAGACTACTATTATAAAGACTCACTTGATGAATTGTTGATGCATTTATTTCATAACAATGCTCACTGCAACTAAACAATAAAAGGGGATACAAAGGACGGACCATTTTGTATTTGTATATACAGAATAGTTAGGATAGATATACAACTACTTTTGCTTAATTCAATGAGAAGATTTGTAATAATAGTGTTTGGACAAGATATCCTGTCTGCTTCTTGTACTATGGATAACCACTAGGAAGATAACATTGTACAATGTATTAATTATTGAAACTGTCCTATTAATTAGTTTAGAAACTATCTCATTGTTATTTGTTTCTCAATAAAATAAAATAAACAATGCTCATTCCATCCTAGTATAATTTATATAAAGTGAAAATTGAGTTTTTCCACAATTTAGGAAATATTACTTAACTTTATGAACAAAGCACTTTTAGAAAGTACAATATTAATTTGGTTTTAAAGGAGTTATTTTAGCAGAATTCAAAGTTATGTTTTTTTTAGGCTGAGAAATAAAATTTTTGAATTTAAAAATTTTTATACTTGTCATAAATCCATAATGACATTACATAACTGTAATGAAAGAATTAGTCTTATACTATTTTTTAATTTTTGTTTTCCTTCTTTTGTACAGAGGCTCAAACTCAGGAACTTGTGCTTGCTAGGCAGGTGCTTTGTGCTGTTGAGCTACATCTCCAGCCCATTATACTATCTTTTACAAGTCACATGACTTGTTCCAGGTCATGTTCAGAGGCAGTGAAAACTAGAATCTGGGGACGGGACTCCTTCTTCTTTCCTCCTCTCTGTGCTGTATCAGTGACATCCTCAGTATAAGCATCATTCACTGACTGAATTCAGGGGCATAGCATAATTCTTACTCCATATTTTAAATCCCTTTTATGATAAAATATCTCACTACCAAACACTTGTTAGCTTTGTGTTCTTTCCCCCTTTGAAACAGTTTTAAGCAAATGAAATTACTGAGGGGTTTATTTAAATTGAAGATTGAATTTTGTTATACATTTTCATTCAGTTCCCATAGCAACAATTCAAATCAGACAATTTACCTCTAAATTACTTATTGTTATTAGAATTTCATTTCGTGTCTCTGTTGAAACTAAGTAACATTAAGTAATGACCTTGAGAAGAAAAATCTACCACAACTAATTGGCTATGAAAATAGCTTTAAAAACATCTAGCTAATTTAAATTTAATTTACATCTAAGCCTTAAAGCAGCAATCATGCCTCTACTGTAAACAACAGGAGTGACCTAAATGCATACAAATGTTTTCACATGAATAAAACTCCTACCTAGGAAAGGGATATTACTTAAATTATAAACTTATTAGAAAGAAAATAAATCCAGCTCTATTTTATGTATTTATATTTTATTCCAAAAGATACTTGAAACTGCAAGTGTAAGGTAAAAATAAGAACTCTATAAAGAACAATAAAGACAGGAGGGGGGCTGGAGAGATGGCTCAGTGGTCTAAAGCACCTACTTGAAACAAGCTTGGCAAAGCACAGGGACTGCGGTTCGATCCCCAGCACCACATGCCAGCCAGACCCGCCCCCTGGTGGGCTGAGCTGGCCACACACACACACAATAAATAAATGTAATAAATAAAAATAAATAAATTAAAAAAAAAAAGACAGGAGGGGCAGTGTTTCAAAGGATATTCAAAAAATATTAGCTTGTCCCCTTCATAAGTCTGTATATTATCCTACTGAACAATCTCTTTAATTTTTCACTTGAAGCTCTGTGAGGAGATCCCCACAGGGAGAGAAGACAAACCATAAAGCTGTTGTTTTCTATGAAGGCTTGTTTCTTTATATAAACTTCTATTGTACTGAATATAGTAAATCTATATAATGATGATTACTATCATATGAGGATGACATCATCTAGTGATTGAATATATAATTGCTAATCACTGTTTTGATCTTAACCTCTGTCAATATTTAGTCCTCACATCAAGCTTAGGAATAAATGAGTAAATAGAATGAAACTAAGCAAACAAAATGAATCTTCTCAATAGCTTAGAAATATCTACCTGCTCTTAATACACTCCCTCTCCCACCCCAGTCCTCTAAGACAAAGTCTTTCTGTATAATCCAGATTGGCCTTGAACTCACTATATAGTGCAGGCTGACCTCAAACTTGTAGCTATCCTTTTGCCTCAGTCTTTTGGGTGTTAAGATAACAGGAGTGCATCATTACACCCAGCCAAATCTTTTGCTTTAATCAAAGATTTCTCTGCTGGGTGAAGTAGCCCAGGCCTGTAAATTCAGCCCTTATGAGGCTGAGGAAAAAGGATCACTTCATGTTCAAGGTCTAAACTACATAGTGAGACACCGTCTCAAAAAACAAAAACAAGAAAAAGATTCCCTAAAGCACTGATAATCTCTTCATGGACAAACCAAATCAATGGAAGCATGGAAAATGAAATAGAAGAGAGTAGACAAAATTAATATATTTTATGTGTTGGTAAAATTAGTAGATAACTGCATACATGCACATGAATGTTCATATTCTTCTCTTAGAAGCTATACTGCCTTACCTAAAGCATTAATAGCAACAGTCTCCAATTATCACCTTAATGTAGTGTGGCAGATGATAATTTCTTAAAATCTATGTACCCTTTTTTTTCTTAAAAATTTGTATCCTTCCTTTTTCACATTTCTCTACTGTTAAGACTATGATATCTTTTTTTTTTTTTAAATTTTATTTATTTACTTGTTTATTTGTGTGTGTGTGTGTGTGTGTGTGTGTGTGTGTGTGTGGCCAGCTCAGCCCACCAGGGGGCAGGGCTGGCT